CATCACCCTTGTGCGCACGTAAGGCAACCACATGTGGGCTGCGTGGGCAGCCCGACTAGCCTTGGTGGCGCCTGGGTGTTGTTGCCTCGATTTGCGTGCCTTTTCTCGAGATTTTAATCCCGTTGTACGTGTGACATAAAATTAACTCTAAATTTATTTTAGAATCAATTTAGGGCAAAATGAAAATAAAAAAAGTCCCACTTAATTAAATTCAATTTTAATGGTGCACAAGCCTAAATCATCCAAAATTACCTTTGAAACAATTTAGGTCTTTCTTGATGCTTTAAAATTGAAGGGCTACACCCATAATTAATTTAACCAAAATGCAAATTAATAATGAGTTTTGACAAAGTAGGGAGTTGGAAAAATAAACCCTTTCATCCAATGAAAAATTTCTCAACAATAACTTGTGTAAAATTGAAAAAAAATTACATCTTCCAATTAGGGGTGAAACAAATTTGGTTTAAAATCAAACCGAACCGAAAACCGAACCGAATTAGGAATATGGTTCGGTTTTTTTCTTAAGTGGTTCGGTTTCGGTTTGTAAAATCAAGAAACCGAAATTGTATGGTTCGGTTTCGGTTTCGGGAAATGAAAAACCGAAACCGAACCGAATTTCGGCCCATAAAGGCAAAAAAAAAAACCCTAATCACTCTTCTCAGCCTCTCACTCTCTCCTCTTCTCTTTCCGCCCTTTCTCTCTCCTCTAATCCTCTTCTCTTTTCTCCATTTGTGAGCTTTCTCCCTCTCGGTTCTCTCTTTCTCCTTTCCTCTTCTTATCTTCTCCAATCTCTAGTTCTCTACTCTGTCCTTTCTCTCTCCTCTTCGATCTCTTCTCCACTTTCACTCTCTTCTCCTCTTCGACAGTACGACCAAGGAGGCAAGGACGACCACCTGGGCACCAGTGTTCACATTCTAAAGGTTTTCATGTCAAATTCGACCATGAAAACACTAGATCTAGTGTTTTCATGGTCGAATTTGACCTTTAAAACCCAAATTCGAGGTTTTTCGGTGGAATGTGAGGTATGTCCTCTTTTTCTTTCTTTTAATTTGGTTTGAGTTTTTTATTTTTATGGTGGTGTATGATTGAATTGTGGTGGTGGTAGGTAGTTTTGGGTGGGTTTCGGGTGGTCAGGATGGATGGTGGGTTTCTTCAGTGGGTGGAGGGGTGGTTTTTGATGGATTTGGGTTGATGCATGATGAGTGGGTTTCGGGTGGTTTTTGATGGGTTAGGGTGGATGGCGTGGGTTTCGGGTGGTTTTGGGGGATGGGTGGTGAGTTTCGGTGGTTTTGGTAGGTTAGGATGGGTGGTGGGTGGGTTTTAGGTGGTCAGGGTGATGGGTGGTGGGTGGGTGTTGGTGGTGATAAGGTGGGATAGTAATAATTAATACCCTAGATTGGTTTGGTTTTGTTTGGTTCGGTTTTAATTGGTTTGGTTTGGTTCGGTTTTTTTGCAAAATTTGATGTTCATGATGCTTGATAGGAAAATTCGGTGCGGTTTGGTTTTTTTTTAAGAAAACCGAAATTTAGGTGGTTTGGTTTGGTTCGGTTTCAAAGAGAAAGTGGTGCGGTGTGGTTTGCAAAATCAAGAAACCGAAATATGGTGGTTCGGTTTCGGTTTGGGCCAAAAACCAAATCGAAAACCGAACTTTCACCCCTACTTCCAATATGAAGATTAATCAAAATTGAATAACAAGTTTTGAAATTTAAGGACTTTAATCAACACAAAAATGATCAAATCCAAAAATTAGTTCAACATGGAATTTAGCAATCAAAGTTCCAACCAAATAAACAATTAAAGATTGAATCTTTGAAATTTTAGGGGCATCAAAATTGCAAGTTCACCATAAACATTCACATTTAAAGTAATTTATTTGCAATAATGTGAAAAATACAAGTTTATGTGAAAAGTGAACACACCAAATTAAGCACCAATTATGACTTCATAAACATGCTTAATGAGATTTATAAATGCGGTTGATTAGGGATGCAACCATACATTTAATCTACCTTCAACATGCAATAATTAATCAAGGTTAAAAGATTTAAAAAATTTCGTCAAAAACGAAAAACCCCTCGAAAAACATATTTCAGGGTGGATTTTGGCTTCTGGACAATCCTTAAAGGGTCAGAAACTATTTAGAACATCGACTCCACCCAAAAATCACTATTTTTGAGTCGAAATCTGGGTTCTTCAGCCAAAATTAAAAAAAAATACGAGATTAAAATAATTAAAATGAGCTTCTAATCCAATTAGAATGCACAACTAGAAATTTAAATCCATTTTAAATAACCTTAATTAATTATTAGTCACAATAATTAAAGTGAGCGCGACTCTAATACCACTGTTGGGTTTCGTAGAGTCTGACTCTACGCGGAAGGGAAACCCACCCAAGACCCGCACACTAATTAAAGTGACTAAGCATGCAATCACTAATTAAACAACAATTAAGAGAGAGAAGAAAAGACATTCTTACCCTTGGTGCGTGCTTCGCTCGAATCCCGAGCTCTTACTTGAACCCCGCAAATGCGAAGGTCTCCGACGGCTTGTACCCACGAACCCGACTCGAACGATCCAAGTCTCAAAGGTTAGACCAATAAAAACTAGAGTTTTACGAACTTAAGGTTTTCTATCTTTTCTAAGGAGATGCCTTTTTAGCGCTCCACTCAAGTGTTCATCCCAAAGCCCAAAACCTTGGTATTTATAGGGAAATGAACCTTGAATTCCCACTATCAATCAATGTGGGAGATTTGCAATTTTCCCATTTTATTTTAATTAAAACAAAAATAAAATTGCAATTCAATCACCAAGTTACAAGTGGCAAGAGGAGGGGAGGGAGAAGGTGAGGATACCAAGGGAGGGGACCAACCCACCTTGCTCCCCAAGGCATGAACCAGTCTTTGGTCCCCACTAGCAAAATCGGTCCTCCATGCCAAGTACATTAATATTACTGATCGGAAGCGGCCTCCACCTAGGCATTCCGATCACTTGACCTTACTGAAGAATTAGCTATCCAATAATTCTAAACCCTTTATCGGAATAATACACTTGTTGGAAAGACACCATTTCATTCAAAATTTGGGCAACATTAGTTACACAAAACTTATTGGGCAACAAAAGTACATGTCGCCCAAAACAAACTTTGGGCAATGAAATATTAATTCGTTACACAAAATGGAATAACGACAACAAAATATATCGACGCCTAAACCTGGGTATGTGCAATGAAAACTTGATTCGTCGCCCAAACAGAAAGGGCGTCGACCCTTGTGCGATGAGCCCACAACGAGTCCATCTTCGTTGCACAAAGCTTTGGCCGACGAATTTGGGTCTTTAGGCGACGAGTTTTTCTATTGCCCAATTTACTTTTCCTTGTAGTGTAGGTTCATGTGTTGAAGAGTATCTAACTACTGTTGAAATGATTCAGAGGGAACATTCATCACTTTGCTCTTACCTTTACACTTCTTGGAGTCATCAATGTAGGGGAAGTCAGAACAACCCATGTCACCGCTGGTTGGTGTTTCAGGGTTTGTTGAAGATGAATAGTTACCAGTTTTATTGATATGTGATCTCTTGGAGACATTTGATTACGTTGAAATCTTCTGCTTACACGTCTCAACAAGATTCATCTTGCTCAATTTCCCCCCAAAATTCAGCCCCTTTTTGGTTAATGTTAGTTATTTTATTTTTACTAACCTCTAGCCAAGCTCTTACAAGGACCTCATCTACAGAGTGTGACAAAAAATTCCTTTAGTCTTGATTATCTCCACCTTTGGTATTGTCACCTTCATTATTTTCTTCAATTTCTCCAATCTCATCATTATTATCATCATCATCCGAAGTAGCTGAATTCTGTAAGCCCAATTAAAATTCGAAAATGCACTTTCACCTTTTCCATCAGAAATTGTTGTGACATAGGAAATGTTATTTCATGTTCAGCAAATTAATAATCCTGAACATCTACATGTTCTTCAGATGGAAAAACATGTTAAGAATGAGAGGTATTTGGATTATGTGGTGGTCATAAAGGGATTTTTGTGTTGGAAATTGAACTTGCAAAATTCATGTTAAACATTCCTTAATTTGGAAATTGTGGGAAAAATTGAGAGCTTGGTTGTATTTGAGATTTGAGATCAATTTGACTATTAGAAAATGAAGGTTGATTATTTGGATTATTATGTTGTTGAGAAGGATTCTTGAGTTGGATAATTTTTTTTTTCTATTGGATTTACCCATATCCAACATGTTTTTGAGTTTAGTAGATAGGAAGATGTTTCTATTTGAGAGTGAGTAATTTATAATTGTATGAAAATACTTCAATATTAGACTCATTTTATAAAGAAAAAGAATATAACCGTCGGTACAATTTTTTATTATATATTATTAAACTTCTGATTTTTAAAATTGTTACCGTTATAAGAATTGAAATGTTATTAATGATGAATGGTGTTGGACTGTCAGATCTTTCAATTCTAAAGATGAAGCATGTTCACCATTGGATTCACAAGTAAAATGCATGTACAGACTTCTTCCCCCATGCATGTTACCGTTTTTTGTCTTTTGCAACAAAGTTTCTTGACTACTTAAGTGTGCAAATCAACGTGGCACTCTTGGAAACTTTTCACAACACCTTAGTTTTGATCATGGCTAAGCCTTGGTCATCTCCCAATCTCACCATTTTTTATTTCATTTCAATATTTTAATGCAAATATTTTCTCTCTTCTCCTGATCAACACTTTGGTTACCTGCTGTGCATGCTCTAAATGGATAAGGATTTGAAATTAAAAATTAATATCTTTTACAAAATAGTTTATTAATTTCCCTTCTACTCTTTTACTAGATGAAAGTTCGTATAGTGCACGATTTTTAATATATTAATCTCACGAAAGAATAATTTTCTTAATTAAACCATATAATATTTTGATGAGTCCCTATACGATGCGTGGAGGAGATTCAAGCGATTGCAGAGGCAATGCCCCCACCATGGTATTCCTGAATGGATGTTAATCCAAACCTTCTACAATGGCCTAACTCACGAGTTCCGTATCTACATTGATGCTGCGTTCCGGGGTTCTCTCTTAACAAAGAATCCAACTGATGCAAAGGAGTTAGTTGAGAAAATGGCGGCCAATGATAACTATCATCCAGGTGGTCGTAACAGTGTGAAAAAAGGAGATAAATTAGATGTTGATGCTTTAACTCTTTTGACTAGTTCTGTGCAGGCATTGACAAGCAAGTTCGATAGGTTCCAAGCTGGAACATCCACTAGCTCACCTGAGATTTGTCAATTGTGTAATGTGGAAGGTCATATTGCACCCAATTGCCCACAAAGTTTAAATGAGATGTCGATTGAGGAAGCTAATGCATTCTACACCTCTAACCCCAAAAGGCCATATGAACCCCATTCAAACACATACAATGAAGGTTGGAAGAATCACCCAAATTTTTCCTACAAGAATACCCAGGCTCAACAAAATCCACGTCCACCACCACCTCGAAACAACAACTATAATGCACCACCTGGTTTCCCACCAAGGCCACCTCCAATCCAACAACCTATTCAACCACCTCCTCAAAAGTCCAACCTTGAACTAATGTTGGAAAACTTTATCACCACAACCAACAACTCCATCTACCATCAAAACAGTTCCATACAACAGCTACAAGCCCAGAGTAAGCTCATGGAAAATCAGATAAGCCAACTTGCTCACCAAGTTGGTCAATCCTTAAAGACACCGGGGACCTTTCCGGGTCAGAAAGAGCAACCACAGAAAGGGCATTTGAATGTTGTTACTTTGAGAAGTGGAAAGCAATTGGATGATCCTCCTATCAAGGAGCCATCAAAGGAGGTCGTTGAAGAAGTAGGTGAAGGTGAGAAGGAGATTCACAATGCTAAGGTCGAGGATGAAGAAAAGGATGCAACTCCAAAGCCACTTGCTCCATATGTGCCTAAAGTTCATTTTCCTCAAAGGTTAGCCCAAGCTAAACTTGAGAAAAAGTACGGTAAATTTCTTGACATTCTTAAAAAGCTTCATATAAATATTCCGTTTTTAGATGCTATATCCGAAATGCCTTCATATGCTAAATTTTTAAAGGATATGCTTTCTAACAAGAAAAAGTTGGAAGAGAATGCTACAGTTCTTTGAATGCAGAGTGCAGTGTTATTTTGCAGAACACTCTACCTAAGAAATTAGGTGATCCAGGTAGTTATTCAATTCCAGTGAAGCTTGGAGATATTGAAATCAATAGGGCACTATGCGATCTTGGTGCAAGTGTAAGTCTCATGCCGTTGTCCATCTGTAAGAAGCTACAAATGGGTGAACTCAAACCCACACGCATTTCCTTGCAACTTGCAGACAGGTCAGTCAAATTTCCTTTGGGAGTGCTTGAGGATGTACCTCTTCGTGTAGGTAAATTTTTCATTCCTTGTGATTTTGTTGTGATGGAAATGGAGGAAGATGTGAATGTTCCAATTATACTTGGTAGACCTTTCTTAGCTACTGCAGGTGCAATCATTGACATGACGAAGGGTAAGATTACTTTTGAAGTAGGTGATGAAAAATTGGAATACTCACTTTTGAATGTTATGGGTACTCCCTCTATGGGAGACACTATTTGTCAGGTTGATGTACTTGACGAGTTGCAGAGTGAGAATCTTCCTTTGAGCAAACCAGATGACGCACTTGAACAAGTGCTAGTAGGAAAGGATGATGGTGATGGAGATTGGGAAGCAAGAGAATATGCCAGGCTACTTGAAGAAGCAAAGGCCAACCCAATCGCTAATCCAATCAGAGAAACACTTAATGCAATGAGTATTGGGGAGAATACTAAGCCTCCCGAGGTAGAATTGAAACCTCTCCCTTCTAATTTACAATATGCATATCTTGGTCCTAATAATTCATACCCTGTTATTGTTAATGCTGAACTCAAGGACACAGAATTGGAGCAATTGCTCAATGTTCTAAAAACATATAAAAGTGTAATTGGGTACACCATTGATGATATTAAGGGTATTAACCCTTCTTTTTGTATGCATAAAATTATTCTTGAAAACGATCATGCCTCTTCTGTAGAACCTCAAAGAAGACTTAATCCAAATATGATGGAGGTAGTGAAAAAAGAGGTTCTAAAATTGCTTGTTGCAGGAATAATCTACCCTATCTCTGATAGTAAGTGGGTTAGCCCTGTACAAGTAGTACCAAAGAAGGGAGGTATGATCATTGTCAAGAATGACAAGGGTGAGCCAGTGGCTACTAGGACTGTTACAGGGTGGCGAATGTGTATAGATTATAGGAAATTAAATAAGGCCACCCTTAAGGATCATTTCCCCTTACCCTTTATTGATCAAATGCTTGAAAGGCTGGCAAAGCATTCCTTTTTATGTTACTTGGATGGATATTCTGGTTTCTTCCGAATCCCCATTCGTCCTTGTGACCAGGAAAAGACTACTTTCACATGTCCATATGGCACTTTTTCATATCGCAGGATGCCATTTGGATTATGTAATTCCCCTACCACTTTTCAAAGCTGTATGATGGCAATTTTCTCAGGACTCATAGAAAATTTTATGGAAGTATTTATGGATGATTTCTCTGTCTATGGAACATCTTTTGATGTATGCCTTGAAAATTTGAAAAAAGTGCTCTAAAGATGTAAAGAAGTCAATCTGATTCTAAACTGGGAAAAATGCCATTTTATGGTGCAACAGGGAATTGTTTTAGGTCATGTTGTATCAAATAAGGGTATTGAAGTTGATAAGGCTAAGATAGAGGTCATAGAGCGTTTACCCCCTCCGAACTCTGTTAAAGGAGTTCGAAGTTTCCTTAGTCATGCAGGTTTTTACCGTCGTTTTATTAAGGATTTTTCGAAAATCGCTCGTCCTCTAACTGAGCTCTTAGCTAAGGATGTTCTTTTTGTTTTCTCTGATGCTTGTCTTGAGGCTTTCAACAGGTTGAAGGAAGCTTTGATCACTGCTCCTGTCATGCAACCCCCAGATTGGAGCTTGCCGTTCGAAATCATGTGCGATGCTAGTGACTATGCCGTAGGAGCCGTTTTGGGGCAAAGGAAGGAGAAAAATCTTCATGCCATTTATTATGCTAGCAAAACTCTTAGTTCTGCTCAAATGAATTATGCCACAACTGAAAAAGAGATGCTAGCTGTAATATATGCAATTGACAAATTTCATTCTTACTTGGTTGGCTCTAAGGTTATTATTCATACAGATCATGCAGCATTGACGTACTTGATGACCAAAACCCATGCAAAGCCCAGGTTGATTCAATGGATTCTTCAATTACAAGATTATGACATAGAGATCAAGGATACAAAAGGGACGGAGAATGTTGTTGCAGACCATCTCTCCCGTCTTCTCCTTGACCCTGAGGATGGGGACGATACTCCTTTCGATGATTCTTTCCCTGTAGAGCATTTACTAGCTTTATTGCAAACTGAATCACCTTGGTATGCTGACTTGGCTATTTTACTCTCTACAGGTACAATGCCTCATGGCTACTCCTCTCAACAGAGGAAGAAATTCCTTTTTGAGGCAAGGACATATTTCTGGGATGATCCGTTCCTGTACAAACAATGCGCAGATTCTATGATTCGAAGATGTATTCCAGAAATTGAGGTGGATTCCAGAAATTGTGGTGGACATGCAGGCCCTTCGAAGACAATTGCAAAAATCTTGCAATGTGGATTTTATTGGCCTACAATGTTCAAGGATACATACGCCTATGGCAAGGCCTGTGATAGATGTCAACGGACTGGTACAATATCCAAGAGGAACGAGATGCCACTCAACAACATACTCGAGGTCGAGTTGTTTGACGTGGGGGGGATAGACTTCATGGGACCATTCCCTGCCTCCTATGGAAACCGATATATTCTAGTGACCGTTGACTACGTCTCAAAATGGGTTGAAGCAATTGCTACTCCAACCAATGATGCTCGTGTGGTAAGTAAGTTTTTCAAGAAAGTCATTTTCCCTCGTTTTGGTTTACCACGTGTGTTGATTAGTGACAGGGGAACACACTTCCTAGAGCATCGATTTGAAGCAATGTTGAAAACATATGGGGTGCAACATAGGCTTGGAATTGGCTATCACCCTCAAACAAGTGGCCAAGTCGAGGTATCCAACCGAGAGATCAAGTCCATTATAGAGAAAACAGTTGCTAGAACAAGGAAAGATTGGTCCGCGAAGTTAGATGATGCATTATGGGCGTACCGAACGGCTTTCAAAACGCCAATTGGAACAACCCCATATAGACTTGTCTACGGGAAAGCATGCCACCTGCCCGTTGAGCTTGAACATCGAGCATTTTGGGCCATCAAAAGCTTGAATTTCGATGCTAAGGCAGCAAGAGAAAATAGACTGTTACAACTCAATGAACTAGATGAGCTTCGTCTCGAAGCTTATGAATGTTCAAAGCTATATAAAGAGAAAACAAAAAGGTGGCATGACAAAAAACTTGTGAGGAGAGAGTTCAAGGAAGGAGATCAAGTCCTTCTTTTCAATTCTAGGTTGAGATTATTTCCAGGAAAGCTTCGGTCTAGGTGGTCGGGTCCATTCAAGATCAAGAAGGTGTATCCCTATGGCACTGTCGAGTTAGAAAATGCAAGAGTAGAACCCTTCAAGGTCAATGGGCAAAGAGTAAAGCATTACCGAGTTGGTGACCCCATCGACGAAGGAGTGGACATCACACTCTCTTCCCCATCACCGAGCCAATGAGTTTCATCATGGTCAAGCTAAAGACCTTATAAACAAGCGCTTTCGGGAGGCAACCCGCTTTTTCATACTTTCTTTTCTTTTTCTTACTAGTTTTATTTCCCTTGTGTGTTTTTTTTTGGTCGTTTTTATGTTGGTTTTGCTGTTTTTACAGCGAACGTCGATGCTTCGGAGAGCAAGGTATCAAGGGAATTCGTCAAAGTGAGAAAATGAAGAAGTCTGCTAGCTGCCCGATCTGACCGGGCATTATATGCTCGATCGGGTGCGAGAGCATGCGTGGGGTAAGAGATGCTGCAAACTTTAGCAGGGAAGGTTGATCTTCTTCGCCCGATCAGACCGGGCAACATATGCCCGATTGGGCGCGAGAAGGTGCTTGATATTGGTTGCTGCGTAATCTGCCAAGGCAACTGGCCCTTACTTGCCCGATCAAACCGGGATGTAACTGCCCGATCGGGTAAGAGGGGGTAAAGACCTTTGGTATTCAAAAAAAAAAAAAAGAGAGAGAAAAGATAAATAGTGCCTGATCAGACCGGGCTGCACTAGACTGATCGGGCGCGAACAGCAAGAAGAGACCTCAGCCTCCCTCCGCCCGATCAGATCGGGAAAGTCCCGCCCGATCGGGCGCGATGGAAAACCTGCGTTTTTCAGCACTAAAGAAACCCGATTTTCTTCTTCTTTTTCTCATTTTCTCATTCATCCTCATACATCTTCCACTCTTTCTCTCTCTAAAAACCCCCAAATTCTCCAACCCTAACTCTTTCAATCTCCATAAATCCATCAAATCTCCATCAAAACCTAAAATTTCTTCATCCTCCATCCTCTTTATTCAATTTCTAACATCCACAACCATTTTTTCTTACCCCAATTTCCCTTCTTACAAACTTCAAAGTTAGAGACAAAAACCTTCAACCAACATCAATGGCTTCAATTTCCACAAGGAAAAGGAATAGAGAGGCACAGCAACAACCACAATTGGACTTGGAGAGCATCCCGGCATACCCGAACATCCGGTTCGTTCCCGAGTTCCCGAACCAAAAGGCAAGGTTGCTTGAGCTTTAATATCGGAAGGTAATTCCTACTCGGTTCATAGACCGAGCCCTTCTTGCTAGGCTAGGAATTCATATTGAATGTCGAAATTTGTTTTCTAGACTTGGCATGACTCAACTATTTAATATGATACATTATACATTTGAGGACATTACTCTTGAATTCCTAAGTTCATTTGATGTTGTGAAAGGTAGAGACGGTTTGGTTACGCATGTTGTGTATAGATTAATGAATAAATCTCATCGTCTCACCTTGGATGGCTTTGGTAGGAAATTTGGCCTCTCCTCTACGGGTTTGACTGTGCAACCCGGTAGTTTCACCTCAGGGGAGTTGTGGTTGGCGATGACGGGTGAGAACATAGAATCAATGCAA